AATCAATAGAAACGGTATTTGGATGAAAAGACCTCAAAATGAACTGTATCAAAAGACAAATACGATAACGGAAGAAATCAGAAAACGACGAGCAAAGTTCTATGCACATGTCTACAGAATGAAACAGTCCAGAATACCGAAGAAACTACTCAATATAATTATGAATAGTAAATGCGGAACAGAGTGGCTGAAAGAGGTCCAAAAGGATCTACAACAGATCAATATAAAAAATATCGAAGATCGCACTGAATGTCGCTATAAAATCGCACATGTAAAGTTTGAGCAAAAATCAAATCGTCAACCTGGAGTAAAGTGGACAGATGAACGGAAGAAAGAGCATTCAGAGAGGATGAAGCGTTTTTGGGAGGCAAAAAAGATGAAGCAAAATTCCTAATGATTGCGAATTCAAGTTCAGTCGCTCTCCTCATGGGGAACAATCGAAATAATAATAATAAATATATATATATATATATATATATATATATATATATATGTATATATAAAAGATTCAGGAAATGTTGCCGCATTATTCAAGAATTAATAAGTAGTAGTGGAGTACTAGGTAAAAACGAATGTAAATCTGACTGTGTATATTGTGTTCATTGTCATGACTGTCTTGTTGTATATGTGGGACAGACTTCTAGTCTGTCCCACATCTAGTCTGTCACTCTATAAGAGTGACATCAAACTGCATCTGGGGAGATATCACTTAGCTGAAAATGCGTCATCTCAGCTTCATGACGTCAATTTCAGCAATGTCAGGATAATAAAATCCATCTCTAATTCCTAACGCTTCTCCAAGAACGCTTGTTCTTGGAGATGTATTACATTAATGAGACAAAAACAGTGTTAACAGGAAGACAGATCTTAGTGGTCTTTGTAAGATTTACACCTATTTGATGTCTGTGGACAAAGGCTGAAGATTCTTGTACCGTGATTGTTTTCTGTGCTTTCCCATATATTTATGTTCCGTCTGGTCTCTAACCTACAAATGCAATTTGTGAATTGTTACTTATTCTATAGATATATGGTTAACTCTTCAGGATTTTGCACTTACAATAATTTATATTTCATCTGCATGGTGGTTATTGCACTAATTTATAATCTAATTCTCCCTTAACGTCATAGGTATGTACAATCTTTAAAATGAAAAATGAGTTTCCATGTAATTCATTCAAATTTTCCAGCATCCTGATAAAGATTCGCATTTTAATCGAAATATAGATGAGATGACATTTAGTTTGTGAATTATTGCCCACATTTTTGCCTAGTAACCAATAAAATAACCTGCCAGAGTTGAATAAAACTTTATATGTGAAAAATTTTATGATCACGAAATCTCATGTATATTTTTCTGTAATTTTTTGTATTACATTGAACTGAGTATAAATAGATACAAAATAAATCAAAGTATTATCAGTGAATAAAGGAACATTAGTGTGAATAATTGTGAATACTGTCAATGTCCTAGATGTGTAGAAACGTTTATTTCAAATGAATAAAATAAAGAAATTTAAATACAGTATATTATATAAAAAAAATACTGAGTGAGGATGGAATTTGGGTGATTGGCAATAACCAAGAATATATTATTCAAAAATGAAACAATTGGTTCAAACTTTGAAAGTTTTTAAACTTATTCTTATTATATTATATTGACTTTTATCCATCAGGGACGAACAACTTACTTTCAATTAATATTTTTGGGAGCGAGATGTCTGGCAAAAAAAATACCATCGACTATTCCGTTTGTTTGAAAATGAAGCAATGAACATCTTACCCTATACAATCGCTTCAGAAGGTTCATTCCTCTTCAAGTTCCTTCATCAATGCTTACCTGAAAATAACACGTACCATTTTTAGTTTTAATTAATAAACATCAATGTCGTTATAGAAAATGGAACGGCCATTTTTATCCTAATTTGAAAACAACTACGTTGACGTTCTCGAAATGATTCAATAATTTCCTAATGAGAACCTTAACCTTCTACTTTCATTAAAACAATGTTTCACGAAGAACAGCACTCTATTTACTTTTTGTTTTTTCAGCTCATTAAAATTCTCCTTCATCTCATAACTTTTGTTTTTGTAAAAATCAAACGTCAAATTAATGACACTATAATTTGAAAGCGATTAATTTGAATGAAATTACTGACTTTATATACATTTCAATTAGTTCACATTAACATGCTCTCAATATAATATAGTATATAGTATAACCGGAGATAGGAGACCAAGTTTCATAAAAATCGTTAAATTCACTCGATATGTGTTTCGGGCAACTAATTTTTTATCAAGAGTTGTTTATTGTATAAAACTGTTGAAAAATGTGACAATGTGTGAAATGGTACTACTGTTCACTTATTTTCATCGAAAGTGTATTTCTACTTCACAATTCCTTTTATAATTATTTCTACAAAATTAATTAACATTGTATTACTGAAGAAGAAACGCCTCTGAAACTTCTATTAAAGATACTCTGTTTCAATCTAAAGTTCTCACATACACATCGAAACTTGCTTCTTTCAATGCATGCCACTGATGATTCCGATAATACGATGAAACAGCGCTATATGGTATTTTCAACAAGCTAGATGTTTTTGAAATGTAATAAATATTCACTCTCTAAGATGATAGGTTGTCCTTTCGTTGACCACATTCGTGTGGACATTTTATTTCGAGTTTTATTTCGAATATTTCGATTATCCCATAAAAAATATTCATTCCTCTTTTTTCTTATTCCGCTAACTGTAATCGGGAAATGGATAAAACTTGTTGAAAAATCTTTACTTTTCTGCTAAATACCAATTTATAATGATTGACACAATTCAATTCCCAGGATCATTCAAATTGCTTCAATATTCGTAATTCATATATACCGAATTATATTTGTCGAAATTGTATCACTAAGTTCAAAGGTATTAAACTCGTAATAAATTCAATTATATCGATTTGTTTATTAAAATATACTATCAAATGATATAGAACGACGTGCTTCATTATGGCATTTCTATGGCTATTTTCGAGCATATAAATCTCACAGGCATAATATTTTCCAATTTAAAAAACATTTGTGATCGTCCAATGTGAGTTTCCATCCATAAAATTCAGGAAATCTCCGAACTTATATTCCAAAGTCCTATTGAAGTGCAATATCAAAGCAGGTTCATAGTTCGGAGTTAGATAAATTGATATGAGCACAAGGAATTGAAAGACGAGTCCTTTGGAGAATCGTTCATTTGAATAACTATGTTATCCATCTTCCTACCATTTTCCATGCGACCCATCTCATCTTATTGAAGACCGTGTGTTCCAGTTCAAATAGGATTTTCTGAGGTAAAAAGGATTTGAGGCAGGTATAAAGATTTACCTTCCAGGACTCGGTTCCAGTTATATTCGACATTAGAATGCGAGCTATCGAATAAAGAAGATTCGGTTAAATATTTATTTGGTACGTGTGGAAATATAGAACAATAAAATGAAATTTCTGTTTTATACGAGGAGGGTTAGATATATTTACGTTATGTGGAGAAATATGTTTCCGTTGTCAAAGAATTTGGGGCAGTGAATATTCTACCTTTTTAAGGGATTGAAAAATGTTTTTACATTGGAGCAGATTATATCAGTACTAGCTGCCCCGTCGAACTTTGTTCCACCTTAGAGGCAATAAATGAGCAGACTTTGTCCTTTATCATGGTCAATTTTTCATTTGGATAATTTAAAAAGCAAGTAGTCTAATGATTTTTTTATTGGCCATATATTTAACTACATGGGTTCCATCCACTCTTTCGTGAAGCACTTTGTGATAGACGACATTTTTCAATTTATTATCAGGTGTAAGAACAAATAACGCAGATGGTCTTGCCACCCGTGTACATACCACATATAATCGTAATTGACCATGGGAAGCACATCGATTTTCTAGATTCAGACCACATTTTTTTAGGAATTGGCAGTGTCATTTGTTTAATGTCATGGCGAATGCAAGTCGCATCGAAAATTGGAGTCGTTTAAACTCAAACGGCATGTCGGTTGGTATCATCGGGATCATTAAAATGAGAACTTCCTCACCTTCGAATTTTGCTTCGAGTATCGTCAATTGCAATGTTAGATCTTGTACTAATAGTAGCTAAAACTACTGACATGAAGAATGTCCAGTTCCACTAGGGGCATCCAGAAAATATAAACCACCATTTCCATCATCAATTGCGTTCATCATTGTATCATAAACATCCTTTTGTTGGTAATTCAACAGGGGTACATTCGTTTGAACTATTATATCTAATTCCAGGTGATCATATTCAAGTCAACGGAAAAGTTCCCATTCAAATTCTTGATTAAATGCGTCATTCATTTCACGATTTGTCTTTTTTCATTCCTAACCTGACTAATAAATTGCCGAACATGAGGTAACACATGTCTTCTATCAATTTCAAAGCCCAATTATATATCTACTCATTCATCTGAAGGTCGGGATTTCTTGTACTGACACGAATTTGATGTAAAATGCCTTCGGACATAATTATCCTTGTTGGTATATCCGTTCTGTTATACCACGTTTTATGTCACGTCCGACGGGAACGTGATGAAAAGTATCCTATGTCCTTTTTGTCTAAGCTACCTTCCAATCAATTTTCAGTTCAGGTCTTCCAAATCAGTTCAGCCGTTCTTGAGTTACAAAAAGTGTAACTAACACAACTGTCTTTTATATGTATATTATAGATGTTAATGAAAAAGTTCGTGAAAATTTTCGAAGAACAGCCTCAGAAGTACCATTGACCTAAATTTAACAATTAATTGAATATGTTTTAAAGGAATATAATATGTTTTGTTTTCAATACAGTATTAGTTCTTTATATGAATTGAATATTCGAGTGCTTTATAATTATGCAAAGTATTTGGTAATTTATAGGACTGGTTTTTATATACACTACTCCAATACATGTGAGTATTAAATGAAATTAGTGAAAACTTTTGTCATTGAATAAAAAAGTTTAATTTGTATCGGCCAGAAATCGAGCTCAGGTCGCTCGCTTAGTGGGCGAGTATTCTACCACTGAACCACCGATGCTTGCTAATTTGAGTTAAAAAAGCACAAATTTAACCAATATTTTACAGTGACTGACGTTTTATGTCAAGTCACATGGGAACGCTGCCGAACGGGATAAACAGTATTCTATGTCCGTCTCCTGGCTCTAAGCTACATCCACACCAATTTTCATTCAAATCGGTACAGCCGTTCTTGAGTTATAATTAGTGTAACTAACACGAATTTCTTTTTATATATATATATATATATATATATATATATATATATATATATATATATATATATATATATATATATATATATATATATATATATATATATATATATATATATAGAGAGAGAGAGAGAGAGAGAGAGAGAGAGAGAGAAAGAGAGAGAGATACTATGCACATCTATGTTCTAGGCTTTTGTAAGGCATTGTATTTTGGGGTGCACCATCGAGAAGCAGCAACGTGTTTTTGTGGCAGAAGAAATTAATTAGTTGTCTGGCTGGAATTCATCCAAAATGAGCTCTTGTAGGACGGCAAGAGCACATGTCACATTTTTAGGCCCCTAAATATACTTACTCTGACTTCTATGTATACACTGGAGGTAGCTACACTAATCTTCGAAAGTTACAATTAATTAGGCATAGTGACCAACACCTGTATGAAACAAGTAATAGAGATAATCTTGTTATGCCATACTGTAAATTCAGAATGGGAAGGAGATCACCAGTGTACATATGTCTGGCAATATATAATAAAATCGGTATCTAAATTAAAAATACTGTATACCGTATACTGTATTTAAGAGTACTGTATATGGGTACATATTTTTAGAAATAGATTGAGTAAATTTTTAGTCGATGACTGTTATTAGAGTCTCAATGAATTTTTGTCGAAGTAATGTTGGGTTTGTATTGCTAGAATTAGTTTTGCGCTAGTTTGTTTTACAGGCTTTCTCTATGTTTTCTTTTTTTTTCAGTAACCTTTTCTATGATGTATTATACATTCGACAGAAATGAAGTATCATTCTATATTAATTGAGTATAAACTTAAATTCAAACACTTGAACTTATGATTTACACTTTATTGACTACATAGCATGACGCGTTTTGTCGTTACAAACAACTTCTTCAGATGCTAACAGAATAATATTCTGTAAAAATTTTTCTGTTAGCATCTGAAGAAGTCTTTTGTAACGACGAAACGCGTCATGCTATATACTCAATAAAGTGTAAATCGTAAGTTCAAGTAATTAAATTTAAGTTTATATTCAGATATAATGGATTTACATCAAGTAAACGCCAACACTATTAAATATATCTATATTGAATAAAAAACATATCCCTTAGTTTCATAAAAATATATTAATTCTTAATGAGATTGAATTCTCGCTTAACTCTTGGTGAAACATAATTGAATATTAAAATAAATTAAACTCTTGGCTTAATGTTTCAGGATTTATTTAACAATATGTATAGTCAACATGTTTCGAGCGTTAGCTCATTTTCAAGACTAAACTTAGTTTAGTCTTGATAGTCTAGTTATTGTTAAATAAATCGTGAAACATTAAGCCAAGAGTTTAAGAGTTAAGAATTTATTTTAATATTAATTCTTGACAATTGCTTTGGGATGTGGCCCCATTTTCAAAAGATGAATTGTTCAACAGTGTTAATAACTGCAATAGCTGTTAACCATTTTGTTAAACTAAGACAAGTGTTTTTATTCAATATAATGAGCTATGTTCCTTTCTATAAGCTTGTTATAATGAGCTCATTGTTTAAACATAATCAGCTATATTCCACCAAGAGATTAGTGAATATTTATTCAACATCATGTCATGTCAACATCTTGTTTCCTGCTACCTAGAATGAATTTTTCAATTTTTATTTTGTTGATTTAAACATTCATATCTGAAGTTGTTGGTTCTTGTATTTATTGAATATTAGAATGATTATATTGAATTTCTTTACCTGATTTATGATGAGTAATCTGGACTGCCTTCCTCATGTCTAAATGTATTCAAGTTCAATACCAGTCATAATCGAAATTAATGAGGAATTGTCAAAAAACACTTTTCGTTTTAGCCAAACGTTTTTTATTGTATAAATCGAAGCACGTTTCACCGAAATATGAGTGAATGTTCCATCAATTTCAAAACGAATTGTTATTTTTGATGTATAGTGTTCCATAATGTGTGAAAAGTTTAATTTGGCACTTTAGTTTCATTTCTTCACACTTTATGTGTGTTCACATATATTCACGAAACTCGTTTTATACATCGAGTTTTCGATATTTATAATGCCATCAAAAAACCTCTAAAAGTCATATTATATTTAAAAGCATTCATAGTGTGAACTTATGTATTGATTTTCAATTAATCATATTGAAAAAGCTGAAATATTTATAATCATGTCTGTCAGAAGAACAAACATTTTTTATTGATTTATTGTTTACATTGGAAGAAGGTTTTGAAGATATTGTGAGAATCCCAATTCAATTCATATTTTATGAAAAATATATACCAATTCAGGTAAAACACTTGTAAATTAACGTCAAAACATTTCACTTCCAGTGTTATTCTACTGCCACTTGAATTTGTGAAAAGTATTGTCAATAAACTTATCAAGCCTAAACAAATCAATTGAGAATGTGAACGTTGTGCCAGAAGTTTATAAGTAACAGTCACAGCTGCATGTGGCATTTATTGAAAAATCAATGTTGTCCCCAAGGAGTACCTCGAGCTATATTTTTATGAGAAATGGGTTTGTGTTCCGAATTGAATTGAAAAAAGGGAAACTTTGTTTCCATTTTTAGGGTATAAGCCTGTGGCATAGATTTTGGAGCTTTTGAGCCAAACTAGTATGGCTTTAAAATTTTGATCTTGCCAATTGTACATTACGTCGTTTGTATTGCTGAAATAGAATATCTGGTGGTAGAGACAAATAATCAAATTGAATTATGCAAAATGTTATATTATATCCCTAATTCTCGATTCAAAATGGCGAAGGAACTGGTGGCTTTAAATATATGAATATTTGAAAAAATTAAAAAATCATTCGGATAATTTAACACTCATAGTTGAGTGGTAATTTTAGTTGTAGCTAAAATTCTTAAAAATTGCGAAAGCGTGATGAATTGGAGTTTAATTCATATCTGAAATATCTACTAAAGCAGTTGGAAGTCAGTGTAAATAACCTCATATTTCTACTATTTATTTATCTATCACAAGAATGTTTATATCGACCTGTTAGCTGTGATATTATAAGATCCGGTGTTTTCACCTTCAGTTAAAGCGACAGATAAGCTTTATCTGCTAGTTACCAAATGTTTGCGTCTTTTCACTTCAGTTAGAGAACGCGTTGTACTTAACTTACAGTTATTAAAAAAGGTTCAATTTATCTTTCACTCAGGTACCCAGAAGTTTAACCGAATATAGAAAGACCAAAAATAAAATTTGTTTCTTTCACTTTAAATTTTGTTAGCAACTTTCGAAGTGAAAATTTTTTTAGTCAAGCCATAAGATATTGAAATAAGTGCGCTAAAATTCTGATTTGTAAAGTGTTTTTTTTTTAAAGTATAGAACTTTAAATTGCAATAAAGCAACGATGGATCATTCGATTGACATGCATTTTTTTTTATTCGACAGATAATCTTGTGGCATTACATTTTAAATATGATTTCTGGCTTTGACCGCCACGGCTAGCTAGGATGTAGTCCAATCTGGCGTCCGATTTTTGATGACTTTTTCCAACATTTGTGGCCGTATATCGGCAATAACACGGCGAATATTGTCTTCCAAATGGTCAAGCGTTTGTGGCTTATCCGCATAGACCAATGACTTTATATAGCCCTTTATATAGCTAGAAAGTAGTCTAGCTGTGTTAAATCACAAGATCTTGGAGGCCAATTCACAGTTTCAAAACGTGAAATTAGGCGGTCAACAAATGTGTCTTTCAATAAATCGATTGTGGCACGAGCTGTGTGACATGTTGCGCCGTCTTGTTGAAACCACAGCTCCTGGACATCATGGTTGTTCAATTCAGGAATGAAAAAGTTAGTAATCATGGCTCTGTACCGATCACCATTGACTGTAACGTTCTGGCCATCATCGTTTTTGTAGAAGTACGGACCAATTATTCCACTAGCCCATAAAGCGCACCAAAAGTAAGTTTTCTGAATGTAACGACGTTTTGACATACACTTGAGGATTATCTTCACTCCAAATGCGGCAGTTTTGTTTGTTGACGTAGTCATTCAACCAGAAGTGCGCTTCATCGCTTAACAAAATTCGCGCGATACGTATTCCGCACAGAACCATATTTTCGAAATAAAATTGCACTATTCGCTTTCAGGCGTGACTCCATTCATGATGAATTGCCAAACCAAACTGAGTATATATCACTTCTCAGCTGTTGAATCGATCGCCATCTTCAACAGTAATGCCAATTTATGTTCTATACCTCTAAAAATCATTACGCTCAGTCTAGAAGCAATATTTTCGTATTTCTATGTAGTAAGAGCACAGGAAGTGGTAGAACGTTATAAAACATAAATACTGAATGATTTTCAAGCTCCAATTTTTTAATACTTTAGGAGGTTAGTTCGACAGGTACGTGGAGTAGTGATAGAACGATTTCGTGTAGAATTTCATTATGTTCCTTCATATTTCATATCGAATAGGACTATGAGCAATATATCTGATTGTTGTCAGATTAAAAAAGCACTTGCAAACAGCATAATGAATATATCTCAAATTGAGAGATTTATCTAGACTCTGCTGAGAGAGGTATTTGGTATTTTATAATCACTCAGAAACTTTCACTGAGATTTGCATGTCGTATCGATATTTATTCGTTATTTTTATAGTGGTATATCTAGATCCTCCCCAACAACTTTCCTATTGAGCTTATGACAAAATTGGTGAAATGTCACCTACAGTTAAGCTAATATAGTCGACCAATTGTTCAAAATGGTTTGTTCGGTCCTGTGTTGGCCGTTCTCAAAGACCCTTTTCCATGATAATCCGCAACCTGG